ATAGAGGCCTTTCTTAACTGGGTGAAAAAATTGGGCTAACTGGTGATTTTATTGGAATATGGTTGTTCCATATAATAATTCCATAAAATGACCATATGTGATTATGGAAATGGGCTAAAGTCCCTTTTAATTGTAGGAGTCTATTAATACTGGCATGTCCCTTTCCTGGGAGAGGGCTAGACTTGCTTTCAGACATCCTCTTTTGATGACCGTAATCTAAAAATATGAACTAAGTGAAGCAATTATCATCCACAGGAACTGCAGGGGATATGAGAATGTTAATGAATGTTGAGCTAAAGGATTGCTGAGTAAGAGAGAGGACCCAGGAAAGATAAAACAACCTGAATTTATACATTTCAGTAAAATTTGCAGAGAGTCAAAACCTGCTGGAGAAAAAGCAATTTTCAGAGGCACCAGAGAATTGTGTGGACCTGGGCACTCAGGAACATAATTTTCAGGTTTGGCTCAGCTGTGTTTAATATGGAAGCTGAGCTTTAATAAAATTTAGACTCAAGAGTTACACTGATTGTATAACTACACTCCAACAATATAGCCTAGTAGTTGAGTGTAGGTTGTGAGGACAGACCTACCCAAGTCTTTACCTATAAATAGCTCTGTGACCATGGGCAAGTTAGCCTCCTCAACCTCCAGCTTCCTCGTCTGTAAAATGGGGCATAATAATAGTATGTAATTCACAGGGCGATTGTGAAGAGTAAATCTGACACTGCCTGGGATTTTTATAAAGTACTAAAAATATGGTAAACAACATCACCGTTTGAGAGTCCTTATTTTTCCAGAAGCTTGTGATTAGAGCAAAATGGATTGTGTAACCCACACTTCTGGTTCGGAGAACTTCCAGGTGTGGGGCTGTCTCTTTTCCACTCAGGTGACACTACAACCTTTAACCTTTCCCTTCTCATAAAACAAACAAACAGTAGTGGTTTTGAAGTGAAGGGTCTGCTTAGGGAGTGCAGTGTTTGTGAATAGAAATATTCCAGTGGTTCCTTGTCCCAGAGATGAGAGAGAAAAGCCCGTGAGGGTTGGAAAGTTGAAAGTATGTACAAGATTAACAGCCTGTAGCCAAGTTAGAAATCCCATTAGTCACCAGGCCAGTTAAATTGTCTTGGAACCACTACAGAGAAGGACAGCTTTGGAGGGTGATGGTGCGTTGGTATGGCCAAGCAGAGAGGGGACAAGTATGCCTTCCTTTAGTTCCAGGTTCCTGAAATGGACTGAAGATGGATTCAGCTTGAGAACTGGGGTCTAAGAGTGTAGACAAACTAGCTTCAAATCAATGAAAGGGCAGAGCACCCTCTGGGGGTTAGGAGAGCTGGCTGGGGATGGTGAGAACTCTCATCAGCCAAACCTGTACACCACCCCCTTCTACACCGAGGCTGCTAGTGGTGAGCCAGACGGTGGAGGTGGTGATGACCAACAGGAAGAGACAGAAGCCTGTCCCAGATGACATTGCTTCACTCTTGGGGTGTATACAGGAAATTGGGAAGGGGTGTATTTTTAGAGAAGACCATCTCCCTTCTGCCACCCTAGCCTCCCCAACCACTGGAGTCTCACATCTAAATTGCAGTGATAGGAAGGAAATATCTAAGTCTTTATAACTGAATGGAGATTCCTAGTCATGAGAATTGAGAAATGAGCTTTGGAATCGAGTTAAGAAGTGGTTAAGGAAAAGGAGAGATTAGCAGAACACAATTAGAAAGCAATTGTTGGAAGAATAAACCAATCATATTTACATGTTAAGGACCTGAAATTCCTCCTCTAATCACTTGAAGTTATTATCTGAAAAGTAATTTTCCCTTTCCTAGCTAGTTTCTTGTTTCTTGTTGTGGGTTTTGTGTTCACATTATCCGTTTTGAAAAGATTTGTGTGTTTTTTCTTTCCACGTAATTCTGGTAACAGAACAAAAAGTGCCTAAGATGTAAATGGAGACGTATGTCCTTGTTTGCTTTCTTGCTACTTTACCACAAAGATTTCCAAGAGTATGTTTTAAGTAACTTACATATTTCTCTTTTTATCATTGTAATATAGATCCTTTGTAAACATATGAACTACAAAAAAAAGAAAAGCCATCCACATCACATTCTCCAGATATAAATAACCCTGTTTACATTCTTCCTAACTTTGTATTTCATTTACACATAAATACACTTTAAAAAAATAAAAGTGTATCAATTATACAAATTATTTTGTAACCTGCTTTTTTCACTTTTAGTACTTTAGAAGAGTGTTTGGTATATCATAAGTTTTCAATAAATATTTGTTGAATAGATGAGTGCACATATTTTCTGTCATTAAACATTCATCTGTGGTATCTTTTTTCATCACAATTGCACAGAATTCCATTGTGTGCATCCTCATGCTGTGTTTGACCAGGTCCTGGAGAGCTGAGGAGGAACAAGGCATGTGATGGACACAGAGACCAGGGCCCTGTGCAGCCGCCTCAACGGGAACGTGCTGCCCAGCTGCTGGAAACACCAGCACCCCAGCCTCCGCTGTTGGTGCCCTCCAGGGATTGCCTCAGCCACAGAGACCCCCTTCCCAGGGCGACCCCTAAATGAGGACTGACCACAGAGAGGCCCAATGCAGAGCAACTGCAGCTGTTTCCTGGGGCTGAGGGAGGGGTGCACCTGAGCCTGTCCCACCTGCATGGCAGCTGGCCTTCCCTCTCTGCCCAATGCCAGTTCTCCCCTCTCCTTTCCATGGGGGTTCAATCCCACATAAATACACTGCACACTAAACTCTGTCTCAGAGTTGGCTTCCTGAAATATCCAGCCTGTTACAGAGATGGTCCTGACCCAAAAAAATCCCGAATCTATTGATTAAAGCACCCTGTAAATTCTAACATTACTGCCATTACCCATTGCTGAGCCAGGCAAAATAAACTACGGTGCGTGTGTACCATGATATGTTATACAGCCATTAAAAGAAATGTGGTTTCTCCAGGCCAGCGTGGCTCAGTGGTTGAGCGTCCACCTGTGAACCAGGAGGTCATAGTTCGATTCCCGGTCAGGGCATATGCTTGGGTTGCGGGCTGGATCCCTAGTGTGGGACGTGCAGGAGGCAGCCAATCGATAATTCTCTCTCAACATTGATGTTTCTATATCTCTCTTCCTCTTCCTTCCTCTCTGAAATCAATAAAGATACATTTTTTTAAAAGGTGGTTTCTTTTGTTCAAATATTGTTGGTGTTGTGTATACACACAGTGGGTCTAGACTAGAGGAAGGTGGGAGGGGAGGGGACAGGTGGGAGGAATTGGACGTTATCGGATAATTACTTGAGCACTCTTTCTGTGCCTAAATTTCTCCCAATCTGTTGGTTCCCAGATCTCTTGCCCCTCAGTCTTTGGACTGCCTCAGTGTGAGCATTACTTGGGCAATGACTATCCCCATAAATATAGCATTTGCAAGTTACAAAAGCCAAACTAGACGTGACCCTAGACAGCTACACATGAACACACATGACTGTGAGCAGCCAGAACAACAGACAGGCCTTTTAATGCACCAAAAGCAGAATAAAGGATCAAATCACACTAATAAAAACAAATCAAACCAACATAAAAACAAAAGCCCTGAGAGTGCGCTTGAGGGAAGCCGGGGGAGGGTCCAGAGGAGTGAGGTGCTGAGCCCTGAGCTGTCCTCGGTCAGAGTCATACATTCCAAAGCAGCAGGCGTCTACTGACAGGAGACTTCCTGTTACTTCCCACCTGGAGGCAGGCTCAGCCCATGTGAGATGTCTCCTCCCAATCACAGACCATCCTTCCGTGGTCCTGAAGGTTCAAAGAATTGCTGTGGGGTTCTAAAGCGCCTCCGGCCAGCTGGGCTTGCAGACTGGGCCCGCACAGCACCGGGAGGAAGAGGCAGCGAGGGCACCGGCACCGTGAGTAAAATAACTTGCCTCTGCAGGGAAGGTAGCTGGGCTCTCAGTGTCTGGGCTTCTCTCTCAGGAGGGCAGCCAGCAGTCTGGAAGGGAAGGTGAGGAGTTAATTTCCTGTCCCCGCTCCCACCCCACCCTTTTTTTTGTAATTTAGAACATTGTGACTGTTCTGTTCCCTTTACTTTCAACTGTACAAATTGCTTTCTGGAACCCTTTGGTATTGCCCAGTGCTCAGAACTAAGATTAAACTTCTTCTGGGGCTGTTCTCCCTCCACCCTGATTTCAACCTCAGATTTCCTCACAGAAAGACCAAGGAAAATCCTAGAACCCTGGGAGAACCGGCATGTCCTGATTAAAGCTCAGACAGACATCTTAGTGGACCCCCAGTTTCCTCAGCGAGTCAGAAGAGTAAAAGAAAATGTCAGGAAACTGCTCATGTTCTGAATAATCAGTCCTTAGCCTAGCAGAGACCAAGTTTTCTGGTCTCCTTGTCAGAAATCATTTGGTTCCGCCAACTCGGAACGGGGTTTATGAAATAATTTACTTGGGTTTCTTCTCTGCAAACAATTCTGTTTAATAAATGTGTCCGTAAAGAAGTCAACAAATATGCTTTATCTATGCAATGTCATTTTTATTCTTCAATAATTAGCTGATCTATGAGAATCTACAGGCCTAAATATACAGGGTGGGGCAAAAGTGGGCTCACAGTTGTTTATATGGAAAATAATAGAATAATGAATAAATACTAATACAAGAATAAACTCTTGTGTTGTGTGTACTCACAACTATGAACCCACTTTTGTCCCACCACCAATGAGCACTTGAGAGGTGGCTAGCACAGCTAAAGACCTGAATTCTTATTTCTTGAAATCTTTGAATTTTAATAGCTACTGTTGCTGCTAGGTACCATTTTGGTCAAAGCAGGTTTAGAGTTTTAAAGAAGAAAAAGGAAGGGTGCTGTGGCCCTGGAACAAGCTCCTCTTTTCATCATTCCCAGGGACTCATCCCACCCTACATGGAAGTAGACCAACAATTGAGAGAAAACCTCCACACCCGTTTTTATTCTCACCTCTAAGTCATACCACTGTCTCCTCTCGTCCGGGTTTCAGACTCCGGGCTAAGGCAACAGCGCATTGTGTTTCTCGCTTCTTCCTTTCCTACCTCTCCTTTTGTTTTCTTTTGTTAATCCAAATTTCTCTCGCATGAAATAGAGTTTGAGGTTTGAGGTGTGGTCGGTATTCTTTGGTCCAATAAACTTAGGTGAGGACAAGAGGTAATGAGTTTGAAAAAAAAAAATGATCTCACTCTTGGTGGGCGAGTCTCACTCATTCTTTGAAAATTGATTTGTGTAGTGAATAATCAATGGTTTTTAGATCTGTTCGATGTGTCTGGAAACATCAACGCTACAGATATGAATAATATAACAACTGAATGAAGTCACAAGAAAAAAAAAAGAAATAAAACTGCAGCCCATGGCCCTAACCAATTTGGCTCAGTGGATGGAGTGTCGGCCTGCGGCCTGAAGGGTCCCAGGTTCGATTCTGGTCAGGGGCATGTACCTGGGTTGCGGACACATCCCTAGCGGGGAGTGTGCAGGAGGCGGCTGATCGATGTTTCTCTCTCATCGATGTTTCTAACTCTCTCTATCCCTCTCCCTTCCTCTCTGTGAAAAGTCAATAAAATATATTTTTTTTAAAAACACACAAAAAACCTGCAGCCCATGGGAAAAAAAACCCTCTACTCTTCAGAGCAAAAGAACTCCCCGGATGTTGAGTAATTCAAGTAGAGCATCTTGGTGCCAGGCCACCTGGAAGTTTCCTATAGGGTTGGGCTCACCAGGAACTGTTCCGTGTGTGGGAAACATTTTGAGGTGAGCTGCATACTTTCACTAGGGGGCAATGTCATTTTGAAGTGGACAGCTGCTACTATGCCTTCTGTCCTCTACCGGTCCCACCTTTAAAAATTCACCCCATCCCTGCCGGCCCGGTGTGGCTCAGGAGTTGAGTGTTGACCCATGAACCAGGAGGTCACAGTTCGATTCCTGGATGGGGCACATGCTCAGGTTGTGGGCTCAGTCCCCAGTTCGGGGAGTGCAGAGGGCAGCCAATCAGTGATTCTCTCTCATTATCGATCTCTCTCTCTCTCTCTCTCTCTCTCTCTCTCTCTCCTCCTCCTCCTCCCTTCCTCTCTGAAATTAATAAAAATATATTTTAAAAAAATTATTAAAAAGATAAAAATTCACACCACCCCATCTGCATCCTTTCTAGCCCTGCCAGGTTAAAAAAAGAAAAAGAAAATCAAATACATATGTGGGAAGTGCTGCTTTAAAATAACAGGCAAGTTTCAGAAAGCCCATGTGTGAAACAACTCATATGTACTGGGGGCTAAAGGGAAGGAAGACACATCATATTACCAGGAGTCAGTCTCTTTCCACAGAGATAGCCCCACGCTCCAAGTCATGAGTTACGAGGTGTGTCTTTTTAGGTCCTACCCTCTCCTTGGGTCTCTTCCGTCTCATGGCATCTTCTCTCTCCCTTTGGAAACATGAGGAAGGGATCTGATAACAACATTCCCAAGAAGGCACTGACATTGATGACTTGTGAGATTCAGTGTGCCCCTGTTATGTGTCCTGTTTGTATTCTAATCAGGAGCAGCAAAGGAGTGATTCTGTAATTGTGGGATTTCAGAAATTAGGGTGAAGAGTGAGGATTCTTTGAAAGGAGGGCAAGGGTGGAAGGCTCTCTCCAGCTTTGTAATGTGACGCCCCTTGTGGCTTAACTTGTTTGTAAGGGAAAAGGGCAAGCTCAAGGGCAGGGCATTGGGAGTATCTCTTAATTTTAAAGAAAGATAAAAATAAGTTATCTATCCATACTTATAAAGGGGGAGTCATTAGCAACAAATCCAGTATAAGCCTGGCTTTAGAGACTCTGCAATGACGCTTCTGTGCTCTTGAGCAAGTCACCGCCCCTCTCGGTACCTTAGTTTCCTCGTCTGCACAATAGGGAGGCTGACTACCAAGCCTCTAAATTTGCAGTCAGAGCCAATATTCTTTCATGATATGAATGGGCATGTGGCCAGTCAATGCCCGAGGACAAATGACACTTCAATTTCTTCTTAATCATGTGCCTTCTGAATAAGACAAAAGCTACCAAGAGTTAGTCATTGGTTTCCAGGTGAGTCACTCATCAATTAATTTGAAAGGTTATAATTTTGTTTCTTTAGTGCAATTATCTGTCAAATTGACTTTTTTGTGTACGGTAATTTATTCCTTTGTGGGTTCAGAATAACTGATTAAACAAACTTTGGTAAAGAAAAGAGTTAACAAAGTATCAGGTTAGATTGCCGTGACAGAGACTAGCAGAGGAGAAAAGCCACACTCACATATCCGCCAAACAGGACATGTCTGGAGAGCTGTTAGAGGCTGCAAAGAGAGGAAGGTGGGGAAGAAAGGATAACTTAGGGCAAGGGCACTTGGGGAAAGAAGAGGTTTTTCAACTGAGCTTCAGACAATGGCAAAGCGTTCCATAGGCAGAAATAAGACAAGGAATCATCCCAAAGGGAGAGACAACCTAAACACAACCTGGACGCAGGATCAGGGCGCTTAGGGCAGCAGCAGACAAGCAGCAGGCCCTTTGAAGTCTGACTGGTATGGTCTTGAATACAAGCTAAGGAGCATGAGCTTTATCGCTTAGGTTGGCCAACCTCTCTCCCAGGAGAATGAAATGGTTGGGTCTGGACAAATAAAGTAGATGCAGCAAAGGGAAGGCATTGTTATAACTCCAAGAATTGAAAAGTCAAGACGTTTTCTAATTCAGGAGAAACCTGGATTTGAAGAGATTGGTCCCCAAGAGAGAATGGGTTGGTAAGAGGAGCCATCTGGCGACAGGAAGTAAGAGGGGTCCTGTGGCAGAGCTGTGGGTACAATGGGAGCTCTCCAGGGCTCTCCTTTGAATGAGGGGCTAGGGAGCCTTTCTGGGTGTTGAAGCAGGGAGTGATATGAAATCAGAGCTGTGTTTTAGGACAGTGGCTCTCAAGACTGATTGTCTGGCACTTAGAGGGCAGGTTCGATTTTTTTGAACACCACAAAGTGTTGATAAATTAAATTAAAAATAATTAAGTAGATCAATTTGGCCTAAATTCATACTTATAAACTAGATGCTAGCTAGACAAGTGGTAACAAGCACCCAGATTTAAGAAAAATTTGTGAGAGAAAAATGCTTAAAATGACAAATGTTGATCATTAATTTTTCTCCAAATTATGAAATGACTGCAATTATTTGGTTTTGGCTCAAAACATGTTGGCCCAGTAGGTGCAACATCTGTGCTCTGTAGGGTCATTTGAGAACCTCTGCTTCGGAAGTTCACCCTGGACGCACTGTGTGGAATGGAAACAGAAACTGTTGAATTCATCGGAGCCAGAGTTAGGAGCTGTCAGTAGGAATTGGAAGGAAAGGGTAAAACTGTCTCAGGAAACATCAGAGGATGATCAAGTTTGCTTCTATCAAAAATAGAAGTCAACCCAAATTGGGGGGTGGGGGGGGCATGTATTATTCAGGGTTCTTCACAGAAACAGAACAAATAGGATATGTATGTATCCCATTCTGTTTCTATGAAGAACTGAGAAAGAGACAGACAGAGACAGACAGAGAGATTTATTTTAAGGAATTGGCTCATGTGATTATGGGGCTGGCAAGTCAGAAATCTGCATCCCAGCAGACTGAAAAGTCAGGTAAGAAGTTAATGTTGCCACCTTGAGTCTGAAATCTGCAGACTGGAAACTCACACAGGGATTCTATGCTGCCATCTTGAGGAAGAATTGCCTCTTCTGCAGGAAACCTCAGTCTCTGCTTTTAAGCCCTGACTGATGGGCTGAGGCTCACCATGTAATGGAGGATAATCTGCTTTACTCAAAGTCTGACTTAAATGTTAACCCTATCTTAAAAAATATCTTCACACAGGTACCTAGACTGGTATGTGACCAAACAACTAGTTAAGTTGACAAATAAAATTGACCCTGACATAGTGTTCATTTCGGTACTTCCTTGTCAGGCAGGCAGAGACAAAACTCAAGAAATCATTAACCTCTTAAGGCACTATGACTACAGGCCCAGAGGACACCAGTTTATGTTCTATATGTACCCCACTTGTCCATCCCTTCTGTCCTCTCTCCTTCTCTGAGAAGGTCAACAAATTCAGAATTTTTTAATAGTCACTGGTGTGAAACTTTATCAGAGTTTTTCTCTCTCTTTTTTTTTTTTAACCTACATAAGTTCATTAGTCTGGCGTAGGCACAAAAATATGATAGCTGTCAAAGAACTCTAAGAGGTTAGCCAGGCCTGATTGTTTTCTTTCATAGAAATCATGTTGCCTTTCCTCTGAGGATATCGGCGCTACAGCCCTTCCTGGAGGCCTTTCCAGCCTCTCTGCTATGGCCGTAAATTCACTTGCCCCACTTCTCCAGGATCCTTTCCTAGGAACTTTCCCCTTGATGGGGGTCTTTGACGCAGAGACTATGTAATACCAATTTACACATTTCAGCCAGGGTTTTCCAACTTCACTCTTGAGTGTCTTCTAAATTCTTGGGTAACTTCCCTCTGAGCTCAGTAACTTCCCTTCACATTTCTTTTCGGTTGATTCTAGAATAGTGGTTTCCAGGCACTCTGGGGCTAGCCATGTGGTTAGGAAGTTTAGGGCTGATTAGGGGAAGCTCTGTGAGGCCCAGACTCCCTACTCTTGTTTCAGCCAGATTTTTACCTATTTGTATATATTAGAGTTACATATTGAAATCATATTCCTTTTGAAAATATGGCTCTGTCTTAAAACAAAATTAAACCACTAGTTTTCGGTGCCTTCACCGTGCAATAGTCTATTAGCTCTGGTCTGTCTGCTTCAAGTAACTGAGGCAAAAGTAAAGAAAGTTAATATTTCACGGGTAATATTGTGTTAGAATTTTACATATAGTCTCATTTAATTTTCACGGTAACCCTTCTAGTTAAGTATTACAATGTCCATTTAGAAATAAAGTTCAACAAATTGAGTAACTACCTGAGGTCACAAAACGGTTAAGGGGTGGAGTTAAGATTCAAACTCTGGTCTGCCCAAAAGCCCATGTCCTTCCCAC